CAAGGCCGACGGAAAGTAGGCAGACCTAAGGGAACTTGGAGAAGGACAGTACTGGACGAAGGGAGAAAAATGGGAAAATCCTGGCTTGAAATCAAAGCACTAGCCAGAAATAGAGTTCGCTGGAGACACTTTGTGAAAGCCCTATGTTCCTCTTAGGAATCTTGGGACTATATATATATATATATATATATATAAATATATATATATATATATATTATATATATATATATATATATATAACGTATCGATATTAGAACAACTTAAAGTAAAGGATACAACAAATACAACAGAGATAAGAGATATTTGCAGTATTTTGGACACAACAGGTATGATGGAAAAACTGATAGTCGAGGGTACAGTTGAAAGAAAGAGACCTAGGCAAAGATCTCCAAGCCGTTGGATAGATTAAACAAAAATATTGATTAACCAAGGGTTACATGAAGCTGAACAACTAGCCCAGGACAGAGAAGGGTGGAGGAAAATCGTGAAAAAACTGTAAAGGTGATGGTGTTACAACATCCCAAAAGAGATTAGGACTGAGGAGGTACGTACACTGAGCAGCATTTTTGCCGGATGTCTGAAGTAATATCGCCCAGTTGCCTTTTTATGATATATCTAATATATGTATTGTTATTCGTTACAAAATTCACAAATATACAGTTTTGCTTTTTCGCAGCCACTACACTCTTGATGAACCCATCTAACGCAAATTGTACACCTAAAAAATAGCTCACCATATTTACCAAAGTCATTGTAGATTATGCAGTATTCATTTGGAGCTTTGTCGTCAAGTTCGTCATCATGGAAGAGTTCATTTTTATCTACACTTTCATCAGTGTAGTAATAGGCCACAATCCTACTGACTGCGCCATGTAATAATAATACTCGGTATTTATTAAATGTTATATTTAATAAAACTATAAGATTAACAATACACACGTTACATCTTTTTATCTTAACCCTAACCTAACCTCTATCTCTAACTTCATGGTGCCACACCTCTTCTTCTTTTACATGTGGCCTATTACTACAATCAGAAGACGAATATGCCTCCTTATTTATTCTGCGTTTAGCTGGCATCTTTTTTGTGTTACATTTCATAATATTTTCGATTTCTTTATTGGTACAGATTTTTTCGAAGCGATCATATGAATAGCCGAGAAGCAGCTGAAATATTCGGAATACCAAGACAAACTCTTACGAATAAAGTACATCGAAATCGTACCAAAAAAAGTGATGGTCAGATAAGCTGATCTAAAGGTAAGGAAAGGACACTGGTTGATGCATTAACTGCTGCAGCAGAATACGGAAGCTCACTCCTCAACATATGACTTGCGCATGATTGTAAAGACCTATTTGGACGTGGAAGGAATAGTTTTACAAAAATTTATAAACAATAAACCCGATAAAAAATGGTGATTGGGTTTCATTTAAAGGCACAAACGGCGGTTGACAAACAACTACTTTGACAATTTACAACATCTTCAAGATATTCCATCTAAGGAGCTAAATGCATATTTCACAGAGGAACAAAATATCCAGAGAGGATCATGAACAACCAAGAGTTCCATACCAATAATGTTTGCCGCTACTGCCTCATGAGAAATATTGGCACCTTATGTTGTATACAACGCGAAGAGGTTATCCGACCAGTAGTAGAATGTAGGTATAATCGCATCAAGTCTATATGGTTGGATCAATTTTGCTTTTAGGACTGGTTTGAGAAAATTGTAGTTCCTTGGGCAAAAAAACTTTTAAGGACGAAAAATATTTATTGGTGATAATCTCTTGTCTCAATCCTGAATGAAGTCGTTGTAAGAACATGTCAGAAATTTAACATCTGATTTACTTTCCTTCCTCCGAATTCGACTCTCCTCACACAATCACTTAACGTTCGATATTTTTATTCGTTGAAAGCACTGTGGCGGAATATATTAGCAAATTGTAAACTTAAAAACCCAATAAATTAAGTCTTAAACAGAATGCTACAAAATCGAGCAGAACAAAGAATAATTGTGACAATAGATAAAACGTCGTTGCTCTTGATGTTCTATACTAGAAGGAATGTTAGCAGGTCCTAGTAATGTTAAAAGTTCCGAGCAAGGTAACAAGAATAAAAGAAAATATGATAGCGATGAAGAAGAGCTAGTAGGAATTCCACACAAAGAAATCGACGAAGTACTATATAGGAACTATTTTGCAAGAAAATGATGAAGACGACGAATTCTTTAGAGTAAAGTTTTTAAGAAGGAAATTAATAAGAAATTTGCTTTCCTTGTCGTAGACAACATAAGCGATATTCCTAAAAATGAGGTCATTACCGTATTACCAAAACCACTCTGTCTTTCCGTCTTCTTCAAGGAATACTCTCACATTCGATTCAGAATCAATAAAAGAGTTTATGCTTATATGTAGACAGATAAAAAAGAAAATGTTTTTTATAGGTACCTAAAAAAATGAAGTGGGTACCTCCTTATTTGTTCTTACTTAATATTAGCGTTTGAAAGAATATTTTTTTATTTAGGTGTTAACAATATTTATATTTTATATATTTAGTGGGGACAAAATGCCGCCCTGCTTTTTGTATTTGAAGCTCTTCAGAATGATCCTGGCCAATCCTGATGTTTGCACTTGATGCCAGTAAAGATTTTTAATGATACGTAGGTCTTTATCATCAATACCTGCCTTCTCCTTCATCATCAAAACCTTCTCAAAGTCAATAAAATACATATAAAATTTTGTATTCTTTAATCATCAATCTGGCTAATTAATAAAATAAACTGCTTTCATATTTAACCTTTATTTCCTCCGATTATATTGGATTACTACAAAATAAAAATTCAATCGTTCAATCTCTTAACATTTTAAAAACTGTCTATCATCTGTCAGTTAAACTGGATGGCCGACATCTCTGTATCTCTGTACCATAACCCGAATAAATACTAAATAGTGCTTCTCAAGTTCCAAAGTTAATGCGAAATCCAAAGTGTGTATCGCTAAGTTATTCTATTTTGTTTTTGTAAATACTTGAGTGCAAATTCGAAGAAATATTTTTAAAAACATGACTCAACAAGCTGATGTTTCGCTAGCCTTTTTGTATTTACTTTTTAGGTATGGTCACAAAAATCGACAGTCAATCCGATGCTTGTTATAGCCGTATATAGCCAGTTTCATAAATTTTATTAAAAAGACAAAAGAGAAATCTTTTACATGAACTTTCGAAGAGCAGTATTATTTCACTGGGTATTTCATTCACTCCCATCGTTTTACTGGCCTTTACCAATCTTATATCTATATCTCTACCAGCTCCTGTCACTACCTCTTTAGTTTCAATATCGGGTCTTTCATCATTAAACAGTTTAATATATTTTTTCCATCTGTCTATTTTATCTAAATCAGTGATAATCAGTTCGGGTTAAATTAAGTAGGTACCTACTCTTCTTATTGGATTTTTCGTTACATTATTGTATACATCAATTTGATGTTGAAAGCACAAGAGAAACCTTTTAAAGAAAACGTCGCAGTTTTCGATTGATTGATCAAGAATATGCAAATTCATCCATAATATGTGTTACTTGCTATTTAAAGTATAAAATGTAAACATATCGAAGTAGGTAAGCTTTGTGTGTTTCCTTATTTCCATGTATATACCCCAAAAGCAAACTACTTGAAGTAATTTTGTTTCCTTTTTACAGTTTAATAAATAACAAACAAATTTATTTAAAATAAATAACATTCTAATATATTTATAATTTCGTTCCTATTGACTATGCAACCCGTAATACAGTTTCCAAAAATGTTTAATATATAAATAATTTTGTGACCAGTAGGTAACTAGAAAAAGTGAATCGCATCCACCAAAATTTTCACTGTCAAAATTTTACATGAGGATTTAATGACTAGGATGTCAACTACTAAAAGATTTAAAGAATAAAAATATAATTCATATATTTTTTTAATTTTAACTTAAGTTTAAATAAAAGGATTTTTTGTATATTGTAGAGTTAATTAAAAACCAATTTTTGTATCTTGCCAACTTTTTTCTAGTCTAAACTTGTATTCAACTACTGTATCCCACAGGTAACTCAATATTGAATAGGATGAAGAAAAACTTGAGAATAAATTATAATTATTAATCTTTATTTTTTACATTTTCTTACATATACAGTAATCAAATGATTTCAAATTTAACTTTGGTTCATTTTCTATATTTCATATTTGTTTTTCGTTTTATTTTTCTTGAAAGAAACTTGGTATGTAGGATCCTCCTGCCATATGGTAGGAATACTATTGAGTTTAATGTCACTGAGTCTTCTTCTTTAAGCCAAAAAACGAAATTAACAATACTTATTTGTATTATTATTTACAAATTAACACAATTATTTACAATTACAATTTAACACTCATCCTACCAGTGCTGATATAAGGGTAAGAAACAAGGATCACCTCCAAAACAGATGCAAATCGTCTGCTCATCTTCGAAAGTAAGATACACACAATAATGTGATCTGTGAGAATGGTATTTGAAGAATGTAATATCATTTCAAATTGTATTAGAAGTATAAAGAAATAGTTAATGGTAGAGATGTAATATCTTTCATAAAAATGGGTAGGTACAGATGGACTGGAGTTGTGTTGAGATCATTAACCACCTAGACAAACCTATTAGCAGCACCAGTGTGAAATAGGAGTAGAGTTAGACGAAAACTGAGATGGAGGAATGGTGTGGATAATGAAGCAAGGAAAATCAGTACAGCTTGGTAATAAACAGAAACCACTGGCAAATGTTGATGCTCAACTAGAGCTGCAGCACCACTGATGATGATGGTGATGATGAAGTCTTCTTCTAATACCATCAAAGATGTTTTCCAGTCTGCTCTATACAATTTTCCACTTGTATCAATTTATTTTTTTTTGTGTCTAGAGTGTTTTAAATATCTAGATCTCTAGATCTGCTAATTCTATATGTAAAGATGCCGAGGTAAATAAAAAACAACACTAAGATGAATACAAACTTTTAATGCTCATAAATTATAAAAGATAAGTCTCACAAATTGGAGTTTGCTTCTTTAGCATTTTGTAGTGCTTGTGTAATATACAGCTTAGCCAAAGACTGAGAACAGAACTGTGAAATAGCTTGGCTGTATGTATTGACCTGTCCTGCTATGATCATTGGGTTTAGCCTAGGAGGTACTGGGTGGGGTCTGAACAATTTGTTGATGTCCTCTTCTGGCAATGGTGGTTCATCTTTAGCAACTCTGGCTGCATTCTCTTGAGCTCTTTTTTGTAGATAACGATGCTTGTCTTGCTGTTGCCTACTTACAAGCTGTTGGTACCTACAAAATTACACATTTGCATATATATAAAGAAGACTAAACATAAAAATAATAAAAGCAATAGATTAGTAGTATTAGTAATCATAACTTTGCTGCATAAGAGATGAAAATTCATACTAAGAGTCTAACAAATGAAAAAGGAGAAAAATTTCCAGATTAAACAATGATAAAAGTATATTAAAAAGAGCAAATTTTTAAGGGTGTAGAATTTACCTGTTAAATTTGATTGCTTCTTGATTTAATTCATCAACTCTGTCCATTAAACACCTTAATTGTCCCTCTAACACTGAAGCTGTTCCCAAGTCCAAGAATTTGGAACCTTCCTCCTCTGGAACTAGTTCTGCTAACTCTGACATCATAATGTTGCTCAATGGAGAATTCTTTATAATGAAAGGTACCTATTTCAAGAATATAAATATTGTATTGAGAATATTAAGAAGTTATATGTATACATACTTCCACAAACAGGTTCTCGAAACCAACTTTCAGTTTCAAAAGAGCTTCAGGAGTTGATTCACCTTCCCTGCACATATCAATAGCTTGTGGTGTTAATCTGTATGCTTTTAAAGTTAAGAAACCTCTAGACGATTTTTGTGTATCATAGATTACAACTACAGACTCTTCAATGGATGTCTGGTAATGAAATTGTGATTCAAGAAGAGGAAGACTTAAAAAATTGCCTAAAACAACAAAACCTCATTATTGAAGGCTCTGCAACAACCTTAGGTTAATTGGACTCACCCACATCAGCACTCTGATACCAGCCTACATGAAAATGATCAACATTTACTCTCCTCAGTCTTCTCATCATTGCTAGTTGATATTCATCTTCATCTGTATTTTCATCAGTTTGTTTGGGGAATGGAAAGCAGTTCGTGATTTCAAGTCTATTATCTACCCCTAATCCCAACAATGCCCCTTGTGCAATATCCATATTAGTGGTAGATTCTTCATGGCAATGCTTAACCATCTTCATTACAGCCTGTACATAAATAGGTTAGACATAAATAGCACTGAATAAATTTAAGCTTTTTTAAACTTACCAAGCCATCGGCTTGAACGTATTGGATTGTTGATTCATTTTCGGGAATACGCCTGGGATTTGCACTACGATTTGCCATTTTGGCACTAATTAATGTGAAATCCACCGGAAAAGAAATTTACAACGTCAAATGTCAATTTTCGACAATTATCATGAAGTTAGCAAGTTTACTCTTCTTCATAAATTAATGTCTTCCCCAAGTATTATAACAGCTACAGAAGATTTTTATAAAAATAATATCACTGGGCATGGCTCCGATAATTAGTTGAGGGGGCCATGCTCTGTCCAATTTACTGCAACAAACAGAAAAGAGTAAATCAATGAAAAAAAATAGAAATTGATTAATTATGAAGATAGTTTAAAAAATAGATTACAGAACTGAGGTACCATTATGCTCAACACCAAATGAAACAAAGTGTCAGAAGATTTCCACTTCTTATTCTGATAATAACTAAATGTCACTGTCATCACATGAGAAGTAAAAAATTGTGGAAATATATGAGTTTTTACCAATTTATTATTTGATTAAACTTATAATACAGTAAGTAAAGTAAATTCATATTTTTGTGAAAACCTTTTTATAAACTTTTATCGAACTCTAAAGAATTTACCTGTGTGATTTTTTCTCGAAAAGCTGTATGAACTTATCCAATAATGCCAAGACTAGTCAATATGCAATATTTGTTTAGTTTAACTACGTTGTTAATATTTTCTTCAATAATTTCTACTCAAAGTGCAGCTGAAGATGTACCTTTATCGAAACTTAGTCAGCATATTGGGACTCCTACTTTAAGATTTCTATATTGGTGAGTATGTAGTTCAATGAATTATAATTTGATTACTAATTAAATCGTCACAGGGATCTGTGTATGATTACTTTCCTGTTTTCTCTGTGTGTTTATTAATCTTATACGATTGGTCTTAAGCTATTTTTTTCTTTGTGACTTGAATTAAAATTAAAGTATAATTGATATTTTGTAGTTACTCATGTGGATACAAAAATATGTTTGATCAGTATTCCACCATAATAAACCAAAAATATCCAGAGATTCTTGTAGATGGTGCAAATTATGATCCACCTGGAATGAACATGTTAATGGCAAAGATGATAGTAAGTATATAAAGCCACAATTTATAAGTTAAATGTTTCAAATTGAGTGTTTTAAATTTAAATTGGATTATTATGAAATATTTTACCAGTTGTTTAGAAGCATTAAAAAAATATGTTTTTCACAATACAATTACCAAAGAATATCAAGGCAAATGCCTCTGTAAAGCATTACAATTACATTCCAATGATTTTTTTTTATAAATTTGTTTCTATGTATTATGCAACCAGTAATACACAAATGAGAATTTGTGAAGAACAATAAAAAAATAAAATTATGACCAGCTGCTAACTAGATAATATTCACCAAAATTTTATACTTTTAACAAAAGTGAGGTAACCAGTTATAATTTTGATTGTGTTTTCTAATTATTTGGGTTAAATCAAATAAATATGTTACTTAAATGAATGATTGAGTAGGTTTTCAAATATTTGTTAATATTTACAAAAATCCAATTCAATTAACCCTTTATAGGGCAGAATTATTTTTTGGTAATATAGACAAATTCTTTGCAGATTATAATTAAAAAATGGTCCATTATTGCTCTTTCATGGTTGAAATTTCGACCACAGCCTGATTAGGTATGTTGACTTTGGTACATGTAGTTGTGGTTCCATAATCAACCACAGAAAACAACACATTAATTAAACATTTTTATTATGAAGTAATGGAAAACATTGAACACTTAATGCCACCCTAATTAAACATTTCTATTATGAAATAATGGAAAACATTGAACACATAATGCAACCTGGTAATCTGAGCATTTAATACTTGAACGTTTTGGCTTCGCTCTCGTTGCCAACATCGCTTAGTCTCACTGTGCTTTCAATGTTAACAGAATTATGTGTTTCTCCCATTTCCTTCAGTTTATTTCTTCCTATTGTTACCTTAGGTCCTGGCCTCTTTCTGTTATGGAAATCACCTATGAGCTCGTTGGCCAATACACTTCTAAAATACAGGTGACTCATTGATTTCGATTTAATAGACCTCATTTTAACTTAACAGTAACTTAAAGAGTATGACGGGTTGTGGTTGGCGAATCGAACCACATTGCTGTCACATTGCCGGATTTTATTCTGTGGTGTTCATTTTGGGTACAGTTCATTTACAAACACTGAATTTGCACTTCAGTAAATTTTCATGTCAATTAATAATTCATAAGTATTATTAAGTGCAGTGGTCGAAATGTCGACCACAGACCTATAAGCTAGGAAAGCTAGCTTATACTGGTTGAAAATTATTTGATTATATAGTATATTTTATTATATAGACATATAAATTTACGAAAATATGAATTACTTTTAGGGATGGATAAAAATGGCGATAATTCTGTGTATATTGGCCAACATCAACATATTTGAGTATTTCAATCAACCTAGACCAGGATGGTGGATTTGGTGCGTGGATAACAAATTGTATGCATGCATGATGTTGTTCTTCTTATGCAATATTCTCGAAGGGCAGCTCATCCAATCTGGAGCCTTTGAGATCTCATTGAATGATGTCCCAGTATGGTCAAAGTTGGAAACGGGACGTATTCCACAACCAGCAGAGCTGTTCCAGATCATCGATAGTCACATGCAGTTCGATACAAAAATAGAATACAACAATTTTGCTAAATAATATTTTGTAACACATAGGAAACTAGTGGAGATGTAAGAACTGGATATTACGAGTATCAAAACAGTACAAAGAATGTTGTAAATCGTCGAAAAAAAGTTTATTAGAGTTCCTGTTCATTTATATTGTTATTTTTTTTAGTATTTCACATATTTCTTTGTACTGTGGAAGCGAGGATTGATGCAAAATGAATTTATCAAAATATAAAGTTGTGGTGTCCAATATTGTATGATTGTTATTTAATGTAGTAGTATAGAGACAGTGGAATATGTATATTTGTCATTTCTTTATAAATCCGTTGCACATTATCCAATTTTGTCATCATTTTCTCACACTGTTGCCATAACGTGAAAATAAGAAAGTAATAAACTGATATTTACACTCCATAAATTAAAAATTAATTGATTTACAGCATTTACAATGTAAATTGTTGACTTTTAAATACTAAATTATTTCAATAAACCATATTTTATTAAGAATTTAAGTAAAAACGATTATTAAATTTTTGATAGAATTGTCATTGATGACGTGCAACCGACCTAAAAGGCTATAATAAAGAGACATTTTAATAAGTAACAATAAGGAATATTTTTACTATCACTAGAGATACCTAATATGTATACTAATGTACTGGAAGTTAAGAGTATATTACATAATTGTGAATACAAAACTATGAACATTGTGCTTGAGTATATTTTTTGATTATTTCGATGTAAAAATGAGACATTTAGACATTTTCTGTACATACAAGATTTTCATATGAAATTTACATTAAACATAATGTAAGCCTTCTGACAGCATTGTCATCTGTCACTTAAATGTCATATTTGACAGTTGGTTTCATAATTTTTTATTTTAGAGGTAAATTTTATACTTATAAACTGTTTATATGATCAGCACTAATGTTAAAATTACTAAATCTATGAGCCCTAACAACTATATGTTGGAACAAGCAGTTATTTTGCAAATAAAATATCAATTATTTATTGAAATTCATTTGTTATTGAATTTTATGAAATTAACAACATTTTTTATAATATGTGGAATTATTTTTACAGTTTAATTATATAATTTGTGTTGATTATTATTTAATTAGTTGTTTGATAGCCAAAGCATGATGACAACTAAATGTTAGAACAAGAGAATTTTAACATATTAAAATAAATATTAATAATTTGTAACGCCTAGGCCTTCCCAGAATTCAGGGGTGAAACTATCTGAGGGTTATTTATTAGGCCTTGTTTCATTTTGTCAAATTGCCTCTATGCGAAGGATGTGACAAAACTTTAATGTCATGATATCCCAACCATATTTGGTAGATTTAGCTGTATGGCAGGAGGCTCTGTCCTGCTGAAAGATAAAATCTCCAAATGGATATAACTATGCCGCACTTGGTAGAGGCCAATATTCAAGGATATATCAATATTTAGCTGCGTGTACTATGACCTCAATAAAATGTAATGTTCATGTTTTTGCCGAAATACAACCCCACTATGAAATCTTTTGGAAACTTTACAGTTCTTTAGAGAAAATCCTTATGGGATGCTTCTCGAATTACACTTTTTTCCGAATCACGCGCTTTCGATAATCTCACACACAGACATCAAATTTGCTTTCGTCGCTATAGATAACCTTGTCCCAGTTATGTTTGGTTCATGAAAGTTTTGATTTAGCCCAAATGTAACTATTCTTTTTTGAGTTTCCGTCAACAATGGTTTTTCTTTGGCCTGCTCGAATAAATCAAAAAACAGAAAATTTATATTGTAAAGAAAAACCTATCAAACATGCCTTATAAAAACTAAGACCGCTTTTGTGTAAATATTTATCCCAGTTTCTCTATTCCTTCTAACGGTTATTTCTCTTAGTGTATTTCTTCTTTTTGACTTACATATTCGAATTAAATGCTCTCCTTTGAAAAACAGCGTTTGGAGGGCCTGAGATTTTTCTGCAAACATCAATACTAGCTGTTTCACCATATTTATTAATTATATTAAACACCGTAGTTGTTGCTACAGTCAATTAACTGAGAATTTCACGCATTGTTTTCCCTTCATGGTAATGATGAGTAATAATCTCTCGAACTTTTGGATAAGTAGAGTTTCCACGTTACATTACTAGATGTTACTCATAATAAAATTGACAGTTGTCTTTATTCATACTCAAATGAGTCATGGCAATTATTGTTGACAACGCACTACCTACTCGTATGTTTGATTTCAAAGCCTTCTTTGTGTCAGGCTGATAAAATTTAAAGGAAAGAGGAAAAGCAAAAGATGTTCCAATATTTAGTTGTCAACAGTTTTCGATTACCAAACGATTAATTACATAGTATTCAATATAAAATATATAATTAAGCTGCAAAAATAATTCCATATATCATAAAAAATGTTAATTCCATATTCATAATTAAAAAAATAATAATAAAAGAATTTCGGTAAATTGTCATTATATTCGCAAAATAACTGCTTGTTCCAACATATAGTTGTGAGAGCTCGTACAATGCAGCTCAAAATAAGTTTTTATTTTTCCTTTTTTGTTGTTTTATTGCTGAACAAGCATAAGGTTTCAGGTTTTATTAGTATTTTCGTGATACACATTTACAAATTCCTTAGGATATGGGGACACATTGATAAATTTTATTTTGTTTTGATTCTTTAATTTTATTTTGTTGAGACTAGTTTTTATATCAATATGTACTGATCAACGTGATTTGATATTTTAAATGAAGAAAGTATATGCATATTAATGAAAATGTTGTTTATTTGTCAAATATTGTAGTTCTGAATGACTTTTTTTTTTAATAAAAATATTGAGAATATTCTTTTGAGTTTTTGTATCATGAAGGCTTGAAAACACAACAAAAATAAAAAATGATTTTTCGAATTGAATAAACTCCAAACAATTGAAATGAAGAGTCTGGGTGAAGTCAATTTCTATATTCATCTCTTTATCACTCTCTCTCTACATATAACGATTTTTGTCCCCACTAAGTCCTTCTACCATTTACACTTTTACTTCTCTTAGATGAAACATACTATTCTTTTTTATGGAAATTCTCTAGTTCCATTATTTTTCCTGACAAACTTATAAGACTATGTCCTAATTTTCCTTCAGAAGCTGAATAGGCTGTAAGTTAGAGTAACTGGACATATCCAGAGGTGAATCCGCTGAAACTCTGCAGAGACTCTTATGTAACTGATCACTTGGATCGTGTAAGTAATGCAAAATAGGAGAAAATAACCGATGCTGAAATAGTCCACCTGAAATTGGATTTTGACTATGAACAGTTTTGCAGATGTATATGTTGGCATCGCAACAAGGAATAGAATATAAAATACTATAAAGGTAGCTACTAGCTCTATACTTTTAACTGTAACGTACACAATGGGAGAATATATCCAATTTAATCTATCTGTGGTGCTATGGAATTGTAGTTGGACCAATTTCGCAGCTGTACACATTGGCACAAGTACAGGAAGAAATATATAACATAATGGAGAGACGGTTACCCGCCCTATACTTTTACCTGTTAAACTTTCATTGCATTACCTGCTGCTAATGCTATTTCCCTTTGGATACATCATCCCGAAATCAGAACAAATAATGATTTAATTTCTGAAGTATTTTTATTCAAACCAATCCAGATATTCTCTTGAGGATATGATGTTTATTTCCAGTAATAACAATTATGGTGAATGTTCACTAGATTTGAGTCGTGATGAGAAACAAACCATTGCTTGTGATAGCTATAAAACTAAATTTCACTTGATAGAAAGATGCTGTGGATTGTTGACCTCTATAAAAGCTGTTTTGTACAGATTTGGAGATTGTGTCACTGGAAGGCAATAACACTAAGAATACATCCAGTGCTGTTTACTATGAAGTTTAGCAACGCATAGAAAGACTTCATAATCTGATTGTTCAAAATATTCCTGAACGCAACTCAATGACAGTATTGAGGAATTAATAGAAAGAACATTTGCTGGGGAGGTTAACATCTGCTAGGCAGCCTTTGGAAAACAGAGACACACTTAAGACCAACATACCAATTAGCCTCAAAGTGTCCAACGCATATTACCGGTCATAACTATGGGAAACAAACTATGACTCTAACCAAGACTAAGGCTTTGAAATTGCGAGTGGAGGTCTATGCAGGGAGTGGTGTTCCAGGACCTAATAAGAAACAAAGGATGAGTATTGCTGATGTTGTGAAACACAGCAAAACCAAAATGGAATTATGCATGCCATGTAGCGAGAATGCATGACTCAAAATTACACATTGGGGCAGAGCAGACAAATGTGGTAGAGTAAGATTACCTACACCTTGGGCTGACAACATCAGGCATATCACGAAAAATTAGCAACAAAGAATGGATGAGTTTAAGAGAGGCCTATGTTCAGCTGTGGATGTGATAAATGAAGGCAGGATGATGCAATATCATTTGTTTATCTGTAATTGCAAATAAGAGTGGTTTTTCATTGACTAGCTGCCACAGATCTGTTCATCCTAACTCCCTTTTTGAATTTATCCCAACTTCTCATTTTCATAGTTAATCTGTTTTCCTTATTGTTAACATTCTGTTGTATCAGTTTTCACGTCATCAGTCTGCGTTTTATAATTGGTTTCATTACTTGCATGTAGAAAACAGCCTATTCAACTTTTAGTTTCTTCTACAATGTATATTCACCTTGTAGTGCTTGCTGAATAAAAGAGTTCCCCAGTTAGGATAAGAAACTGTTTAAAAAATGAAAAAACTGAAAACAACAAATGTGATTTCTTTATATAGGAATTAAATAAAGCAACAACTATAATAAAGTATTTATTTAACACAATACAACCTAAGCTTTCAATGCAAACTTCCTTGCAGGGAATGCAGATCGCTTACGGATTTCTTTAGGTGTCTTGATCTTCTGTTCATGTGAGGATAGGGCACGGCGGATAGAACGGGTCTTCTTAGGTCTAAGGTCAAGAGGCTTGTATTTCTTATTTTTGTACAACTTCCTTAAGTTTTCTTTTTGTTTCTGGTGCATAACAATGTATACACGGGCAATAGCTTTCCTTACCACACGGCTAAAACAACAAAATGTCAATTAAAACAATAATCAGTTTGCTCACGAAAAGAATCAATTAAGTACTAATTCTAATGTCCCTATTCTATATTATCTCGAATTTTTTTTGTAAATATTATTTTCGTAAACTAAACCACTAACTTTTAAGAAATAATAAGAACTAAGCATTAAATGCA